CTTCTCACCCTATCTCTAAGGGAGAGCCCAGCCGCTCTTCGGAGAAAACTCATTTCAGCCGCTTGTATCCGCGATCTCGTTCTTTCGGTCACTACCCAAAGCTCATGACCATAGGTGAGGGCAGGAACGTAGATCGACCGGTAAATTGAGACCTTCACCTTCTGACTCGGCTCTCTCTTCACCACGACAGACCGGTACAACGCCCCCATCACTGCAGATGCAGCACCAATCCACCTATCGATCTCGCGCTTCAGCTTTCCCTCACTCGTGAACAAGACCCCGAGATACTTAAACTCCTCCTCTTGGGGCAGGACCTCATCCCTGACCCGAAGAAGGCATTCTACCCTTTTCCGACTCAAGACCATGGTCTCAGATTTAGAGGAGCTGATTCTCATCCCAGCTGCTTCACACTCGGCTGCAAACCGCTCCAGCGAAAGCTGAAGATCACGTTCTGATGAAGCCAACAGGACCACATCATCTGCAAAAAGCAGAGACCTGATCCTCAGGCCACCAAAACAGATGCCCTCCACACCTTGGCTGCAACTAGAAATCCTGTCCATAAAGGTTAGGAACAGAATCGGTGACAAAGGGCAGCCTTGGCGGAGTCCAACTCTCACTGGGAACGAGCCCGACTTTCTGCCGGCAATGTGGACCAAGCTCTGACACCGGTCATACAGAGACCTAACAGCCCGTATCAGAGGGCCTGGTACCCCATACTCCCAGAGTACCCCCCACAGGGCCCCCCAAGGGACGCGGTCAAACGCCTTCTCCAAATCCACAAAACACATGTAGACTGGTTGGGCAAATTCCCACGCACCCTCCAGGATCCCCCTAAGGGTATAGAGCTGGTCCAGTGTTCCACGGCCAGGACGAAAACCACATTGCTCCTCCTGAATCTGAGGTTCAACAATCCGACGGACCCTCCTCTCCATTTTAATGTTTAGCTTTATTCCTACAAAGTGGAATTTGTAATTATACACACACTTATGCTTCTGAGATGATTACCATCACTGACACAGGTCTAAACAATTACACATCGGCACCTCCTTCAGTTGTTAATATCGGCCCAGTTTTACTTATCGGACCGATACTGATATGTTGAAAACTGACTAACATTGGCCGATACCGATATTGATGCTGATAAATTGTGCATTGTGCAAAGTAATTTTAACCGTTAGAATTTAGACTATTTTAGGACTGAACACTAATGTGGTTTTTTTTCCAGTTGTTCCTTGGTGTATTTGCTCTCCAGCTGATCTCCTATAAGTGTCGGGAGTCTGGCTGATCAGAAAAAAGAACAGAAGGTTTGTGTGTGTGTGCAGAGAGCAAGGAGCAGGTATTCTCCCCAGAAACCACTGCTTGTGTGATGACGGGTTTGAGCAAGACTCTGCGGTTGTAGTGATGGTTGGTTGAATGTTTGAAATTCTCTCGTGTACTTCATGTCAGAGGTAAAACCGAACTTGTCGATTCTGCTCACCAGGGTCAGGTGGGAAGTAGAGGAGCTCTTCTCCAAGCTGTTACGTAAAATCTTAATTTAAAGGGGTTTTCAGTCATTTAAAGTGTGTTTTAGTGTAAATGTTGCAGGGCTGCCACAAACAATTATTTCAATGGTCGATCAATCACTTTTTTTTTTGGGTGATTAGTCGACTAATCATGTCAAGTATAAAGTATAGAGTATTGCACCAGGATGCAGCTGCTCTAATTCACCCATCATTAGCTTCTAGTTAGACATGTGATCAGCTATGTAAATCTAAAAATAAAGACAAGGTGATAGCTTATCAAACAACACCAGTGAATTGAAATTTGCATCGGTCAGAACGTTTGCTCGCTGAGGCGTGCTTATTGGCTTTGTAACAAACTCATCCATTGAAGAGGAGGGCTTTTTAAACCCTGTAACGTAGGAGGATACAATAAATCATTAGTGTTTGTAACATTACAACAAATACTAGAGGCCGACCGACATGGTTATTTTTCTTTAGGCCAAGGCCGATACCGATTTTAAAGAATTTTGTTGCCGATGGTCGATATCTAAAGCCGATTATTAAGGCCTCTATACACACACACACACACACACACACGTGAAAGACAACTGAACACTCACTGTGTGCAATATAAATTAAATAAGTCAATAAATATCTTAATATTTATTGAACTTCAAATATAAAACAAACTCAAAACATTTAAAAAAAACGTGTGTTGGGGTCCTTTGGGTCCTTTCTTCAGTCTAGTAGTGGCAGCAGTTGGCCACACAGGTGCCTGATCCCTTTTTTTTCAGCTTTTAAAAATAATTTCGGCCGATATAGAAAAATTGAATATATCGGCCTGCCGATATTTTGGTCAGCCTCTTTTAAATACGGTACACGCGTGTGCTAAAGGTAATGAATTCACCATCACTGTTGTTGTTGCTACAGGTATAAAAACAAGTGACTCCTTACAGAACTTAGAGGCGACTGTCCCTCTTCATCCTCGGACATGACATGCTTCCTTCATGCATAGCTGTTGTGCTCCCGTGAAAGGAGGGTCCTATTTTGCAGATTTTGCCTTGTACGAGCTTTTCTTTTATCTTTTTAAAACACTCCCAAACTTTTATGCCATGTTGCCGGTTCGCCGTGTCTTGTTTTTTCCCGTGACATGGCAGCTCGCTCGGATGGCCACTACTGCGCATGTGCCTCGAACAGAAAGCAGCAGAAGGTGCTGCAGCAGGCAAGATGAAAAAAAAAATGCTTCTTCGAGTAAACTACGTCAATTATTACATTTATTGTCGACATCGTGATGAATTGACTAATCGTGGCAGCACTAAAAGGTTGCAGTAGCTCACTGTTAAGCCTGGTTCATGCTTCTCCGTCAGCTCCGCAAGGGACAGACACGCACGGATTGACGGAGGCGTTTTGCTCTCATACTTCTCCGTTTGCTGCAGGGGTGTTGCAAAGCAATTCTCCGCCAGGGCAACAGAGGGCGTAGCGTACAGTGACGTACTATTTCCTTGGAAATCACTTCCGCAGTCTGAAAAATGGCGAGCAACAAGAAGTTTGATCGAGTTGGAACAGTGTGATCTAGATGAAGAAATGCTTATCCTGCTGAAATACCAGCGAGAGCATAAAAGGAGACAGCGGCGTCGGTGGGATGTCCGTCCGCTAAACAGGTCTAGGCAGACAACAGGCGAATTTTCAGGACTTGTGCAACCTTTGAGGGACATGGATGCAGAAATGCATTTCAGGTATTTTCGTATGTCGGTTGACAGATTTGATGAGCTGGTTCGGCGATTGAAACCACTGATACATCACCAGGGGACACACAGCATGCCGATCGATGTTGCCCAGAGACTGGCCGTGACTCTGCGTGTTTTGACTTCTGGTAGCAGTCAACAGGCTGTAGCTTCCAGCTACAAAATGGCGTCCAGCACAGTGTCGATGATTGTTTCAGAGGTCTGCAGCGCGTTGTGGGAAGCACTCCAACCAGATTACCTGCCATGTCCTTCTACTAACCAGTGGGCAGCCATCGCAGCAGATTTTTGGCGTCTTTGGAACTTCCCAAACTGTGTGGGGAGCCTGGATGGCAAACATGTGACTATCAAAGCACCACCAAATGCAGGGAGTGACTACTTCAACTACAAGGGCACTCACTCCATTGTGCTGATGGCAACATGTGATGCCAACTATCGATTTACGATGGCGGACGTCGGTGGGTATGGACGGGAAAGTGATGGTGGTGTATTTAAAGAAAGTGTCTTTGGTTCGACACTCCTGAACAACAAGGCGTGTGTGGTTCTCCACAACTACCTGGCATACAGTGACAATGCGAACACACCAGAGAGCCGATACATCCCACCCACTTTCGCTGACAGCGACTCGGCAGGAGTGGTGCACCCTGGAGATTGGCGGAGAATGGTGGACGGTGACTCCAATCTGCTACCGGTCAACACAAAGATGATGTGCAAGAGCCGCTCAAGCAGGAATGCCGTTTGTGTGAGGAGTGAACTGGCGCAATTCTTTTTGTCACCAGTAGGGCTGGGGGTAAACGATTATTTTTAAAACGATTATTCTGACGATTATTTTATCGAATAGTCGACTATTCTAATGACTATTTAGAAAATTAATCTAATGATTATTTTTCTATTGCACAATTAACAAAAACCAGAAAATCTCAAATAAATTCCTCAAAAAAATTGATAAATTCTTACTGTAAGAGAATAAACACTACAGGCCTTCCATTTTGTATAACACTGCTTTTATTGTGTTGCGGTTGGTTATGTTCTGGTGACGTGTAGAACTTGGGAGAGCAGGCTGCTGCCTGAGAGGTGGTAGAAGATGGAGTGTCTCCACGCTGCTTTGTTTTGGTCACTTATGTGCGTGAGGCGAGTGGTGTTACGGGTTAAACCAAACTCAGGTGATATTTTACACTAAACCGAAAACCCACAACACTCTAAATGTAATAAAAGGGAGATCTACACCACAAAAAAGATGAACTCTAAACCAAAACGTAACAGCTTATCCCAACGCAAGAAGCTGTTAGCGAAGATGCTAACAGTAGCTTTACCAACGTTAAGTTCAAGTTACCAAGTTTAAATAAACCAAAACACCCAGCAGCAAACAGACCAGCACGGAGGAGAGACTGCTAGCACCAAAACAGCTCTCCTCATGTCTGAAAGAAGCTCCTTTATGAAGGGAGAAACGCTCCCGGTGATTTTCTACATCTGCGGTAGAGACGGAGCAGCGCATCTGACCCCGGAAGTTGTTGTCCGTTGCCGGGAGACGAAGGCGGGCAAAACAGGAAAATAATCTAGTAGGGGACGGACATTGTTCCGGGTCTTCGGTATTTGGCGGAGATGTTAGTGAAGGCGGAGAAGAGGGCGAACTAGAGGAAAAACAGGCAGATTCCTCCTCTATTTACAAACTCCTGGGGATGCAACAAGTGGGCGCGGTGCGTCGACTTCCGGATCTGACGTCGACAAATTTTCAGAATCGAGCCGTCGACGTAGTCGAGGCTTCGCTACAGCCCTAGTCACCAGCAGGAGCTGTGTCCTGGCAGGAGGAGACTGTGTCACGTGGCGCACTCACAGACTAGAGTTTGTCCATCGTAATCATAGCGCCTGGTGGTAGTGTTCTGTTTTCTTTTTTTTTGCTGTTTACCAGGTCTGTTTTCTAGTGCCTTGTTCACTGATGTTTAAATGATTATACAGCTCATATTTTGTTATGCAAGTGCTACTCCTAATAGGAATAAACTCTGTTGTAGTGGAATTAACTACAAATTGAAGCTGAGTGAATAAAACCTTTAAAAAATCTCAACTAAAAACCTGAAATTATCTTGGGGTATGAATTTTTTTTCAAGACTCTGTGTTTATCTGCTTTTTGGAGCCTAGTCAATGAGTGTGAAATAATACGGAGTGCAAACTGATGCCAAATGACTGAAAATGAAAAAAAAAACTGTAAATGGAAGAAAACAGACTTCGCTTTTAATAGAAAAGAAACATGCAAATGAAACACTTCTAGGAATAAAAATAAAAACATGCGAATAAAAAAAACTTTCAACACAAACACATTTCAATTCTCCAGAAGGTCGCACACACATGCTAAAAGGTTGCGCCTGGCCACCACCTGCTTATGTTCAGGGACCTTCCTCAGTAGGTCCGCTAGAACCTGCCCAAACCTGTCGTACTTATCATCCTTCTGCAGTATCTCACTGAGCTCCTTCCTACGTTTGTCAATTCGGGCCATCTGTTCAGAAAAGCAGTCATCCACATGCTGCTGGCGCCGCCTCTTGTTGAGAGCAGGTCGTGGTGTGCTGGTGGACTCTAGCAACTCATCGACTGTTTGTTGATCCGTTGAAACGGATTCTCGGTCAAGGGAGGCATGGAGAGATGGAGATGGATTTGATGAAGCTGATGAGGAATGTGATGACACGGGATGCGGTGAGGACTCATCCTGCTGTTGTTGAGAGGCAGGCAGTGAAGAGCCCTGAAGTTGTGATGGGGCCTCATCCTGTGAGGATCCACACGAGGCCTGGTCCTGAGGTGGTTCAGTTGGGGCCTGGTGTTCAACAAACACAGGCATTTAGTCATCTCTTTAGTACTTACATACACTGGTAAAAACAGAATGCAAATATACTTATTAATAGGTTTAGGTCATCACAGTAGTATAATGAGATGAATTTGGGTGACTTTGATGAAAGCTTTTAACTAGAACTGCAGCTTGTTAGCGCCATGTGTAGCTGGTAGCACAGACAAACAGGAAGTACAAACACAGCGTGCTAAAGTAACATTGAAATTTGAAGATGTGGGTCTATGCTTTATTTATGTGCGGCTCCAACCACGACAGCAAAGCATAAAAAGCCGGAACCTTTTTGCCACCTGGATCGCCCTCAAGGTTTTGTTCATTTGGACAAATTTGTCCCGCATGCTCCTCCACTTCTTCATGCATTGCTCCACATCCACTTCCAAAATACGGGCAATTTCCTTCCAGGAGTTGTAAATGACCTGGGCATCTTTATGATTCTTTACAGACGGATTGTATAAATGTTCCTATTTCTGTACTTCCTCCGCTAGACGTTCCTCGAACTGGTCCATATCTACTTGTTTACCACACACGACTCCGGCACTGTTGACACATTTACAGGACATTGCGTCATGACGGAAGTGATCTCAGGTTTCTGGACCAACCAATCACAAGCTTGCGTTCTCCGTCTCGTTCGACGGATGTTTAAAAAAGTGGGCTCGACTCCGTGCGTACTTGCGTGCCTGCCGGAGCCCTACGCAAGGACGGATAATGGCGTTGCGTGTCTCCGCACGGACGCAGACGGAGAAGCATAAACCAGGCTTTAGTCCACAGGTCCCAGAACAGCCTTTGTTCAGAGAAGTAAACATGTCTTACATGACCAATGAGCCAAGGGGTCTTTTTTAATAAATTTTGCACATCAGCACACTTAAAAATGGCAGGACAATCCCCTCAAATGAGATGTGTGTTGTACCGTTTAGATTATCTCTGCATGTGGATGTGTTTGGCCACATGTGTAGCCTGGAAAACTGGTTATTTTTATTAAATGTGAGATGGTTTCATTTGAACAAGACCCACAGTGATTTTCTTAAACTGTTGCTAAACGTCATTTAAGTTCAGTGATGTCATCATGGCCTTTTGAAACTCACATTTATTTATTTCCATATTGACCACTGCAGAATCACAATGACTTAGAATGATTTAGTTACTGATGAGCTAAAGAAAGTTTTTCAGAAATTTGCTGTTGAAGGAATTCATTTTAGATTGCTCAAAAAAAATCAGAACATCACGGTTCTAGCAGATAAAAGGGCGTTTTCTCAGCAGAAGCCGATCTTAAACACCGCTGCTGGAATGATCTTGGTCCTTAACTCTGCTGCAGCTCCCCTCGTGCCCTTTCACTTCCCACACATAGAAAAAGACCGTGTCTGAAGTGGATGGCGCGTGTCACACCTGCAGCAGCATCTCTGCAGGTTCAGCTCATGTGAATCTGCACAACAGCATGTCGGGCCAGAAAAGAAAGTTACTGAACAAATGGCACCAATCCTTAACTCCCCTCTTCCTCACCTCCCCCTCAGGATAATTATACCCCAGACCGAGGTGAGGAGCGGGAGCAGAGTGTTATGGCTGCAGGGTGTGCAAACTTGCAGCAGACAGGGAGCAGTCTGCTTTACATGTTGCAGCAGGGAGCCTGATGTGCCGCTTGTTTGCTCACCTTCGTTTCACTTCACACTGCTGCAAAGGAGCCTTTGGAGTCTTTTCAGATAACAGAACAAAATTCTTTGGTGTTTGTTGTTTTTATAGGAATCAAACGATGAAAGGCTTCCAGTTATTATTGACGACTGTGTGAAAATGTTACGGCCCGACCCCAACTGGTGACAGGAACTTGGTGACTGGTTAAAAGTTTAGGCTCGAGGGGGACACAGAAATAGTCCTCGACGGTTTTTGTGACTTCAGATCAGAAGGTGTGATTGTTTATGGCTCCTATTTATGTTTTACATGTGTCTGCCAGTTTTACGGCCTTGGATTGGTGTGTGTGTGTGTGTGTGTGTGTTGGTGGGGTTATTATTGGAGTGATTGGGGCACAAATTACCGCGGGGTGGATGTGCTGTCTGCCGTATGGGAGTTTACGGGGGGGTCAGAGGACATCACCTCTCTCAGAGGAGTTGCTGTTAACCTCTGACCTCTCTGGTTAAACCTGCAGGGTGGTGGCTGGCGAGGCAGAGGTGGTGTTGGGTGGATGAGCGGGTGGGGGGCACTTTGAGGTCTGTCTGGTTCGGGGGCACATGATGGTGGGCAGGGGGGAGGGGGAGGTGTCTAATCTGTTTTTTGTCTGCGAGGCGTTTTCACCTCCCCCACCATCCTTCCTCTGAGAACAGAGTTTGAGAGGCAGGACAATGTCAAAGGGAAGTGACTTATTTTATGAGCCATTTAGAGGGGGGGTGCTGGTCGCCCCCACAAAGGGAAGGCAGAGAAACGACACAGAGCAAATGAATGCACTGACACACACTCACATGTTTGTTTACAAGATGCTGCCCTCTTGTTTGGACCCTCATAAATGGAAGTTTTGCTCTCCTAAGTGACACTCAAACAATGCTAACCCCGTCTTAAATTACTCTGGAAGCTGGGGGGGGGTTGAGAGGCCTCCTCAGGCACCTAGAGCCGGGCCACCACTCAGTCGCACAAGAATATTCACTATTATCAGACAAACGACGCGTCACGTTTTGGGTTTGTTTTTTTAGGTGAGGCTGAACCATTTCAGTGTGATGATCATTTCTACATAACCCGTTCAGTTTTTGTTCCGATAATGGCTGCCAAAGGTTTTCCACAAAGTCTGCATCGACCGGGAATCCTTAGAGCTCACTGTGTGTGACATGTTGACCATCTCATTTGTATTTGTGTGCTCTGGTGGTAACTAGGACTACTTTCCTCATGGATACAGCTGTTGGACTGTACGCCTTCGCTGTAGGCAAGCAGGAGGCCCTGTGGGATGAGAGACCGGCTGGCAGTTTCACTTAAAAGTTCAACGTGTGTGTGTGTGTGTGTGTGTGTGTCCCAGTACCTCCAGTCATACAAAGAGCCATGTGTGCACGACGATGTGTGAATGTGTTTTGGTTGAGGCTGCGCGCTGAGCCGGGGTGTGTGTGCGTGAATCTGTGTACAGGAGAAAAAGGGGCGCTGTAAGTAGGCAAGTGATGGCTGGAAGCAGAGAGATGAGTCTGAAGAGGGGATTGAAGGAGAATGAGTTACTTGAGGCTTATTTGGACTTGATCCCAGACAGAGGGGTCCAGTTAGTGGCGCCACGGTGCGTCCCTCCCTCCACTGCCCCGTCCTAATGATTCTGTTACCCAGAGTCACTTCAGACTGTGCTCTAGTTTTTAGCTCCTATTTAAGACAAGCTACTCAGAACTTACTGTGCTTTGATTAATTTAATACTTTGTAAAAACTAACAGGACTGTTAATTGTACTTCAGTTCTAGGATCACACAACTGAATGTTTGTTTTGTATCTATTTAAAGGTAGAGGTGTAAAATCAATCATTAACAAATGCAAACAAAGGTCACAAAGTAGCAATTACACACAGGGTATCCGCGGGTCCTTAAAAAGTCTTAAAAAGTCTTAAATTAGCTTTTCCTAATTTAAGGCCTTAAAAGTCCTTAAAAATTACAAATAATCCTTA